GGCCGTGAGGGTTAGGGTTGGGGGCATATGGGACCTCTCCGTACTTTTTACTCACTTTTGCTGTGAACTACTCTAAAAATAAAGTCTATTTTTTTTTTTTTTTTTTTTTTTTTTTTTGCGGTCCGCGGGCCTCTCACTGCCGTGGCCTCTCCCGTTGCGGAGCACAGGCTCCGGACGCGCAGGCTCAGCGGCCATGGCTCACGGGCCCAGCCGCTCCGCGGCATGTGGGATCCTCCCGGACCGGGGCACGAACCCGCGTCCCCTGCATCGGCAGGCGGACTCTCAACCACTGCGCCACCAGGGAAGCCCTAAAGTCTATTTTTAAATGTGTGTATGGTGTAGGGATTAGATAGTTATTTTGTTTTTTGCCTTGTTTGTGTTTTTCTTCTAGGTCTGTGCATTGAGAGGGCCTGGGAGTAGCAACACCTCATTAGCAATGAGCACACCCAGCACCCACATCTTGGCTTCTAAACACCATTTCCCACTAAAAGAAACCTAAAAGAAACCTTGCAGAGATGGATGGTTTCAAGGCTGAGGCAGAGAAAAAAACCAAGATGTGCCTAGATCATTCTGTGCCAGACAGCAAGAAAGTATTCAAAGAATGGCGAAGAAATGTCAATAGGTCACAGAAGCCAGCTCGAAAGGGGTCCTGCTGGCCAAACTGGACACAATCTGAGCATCAAAATAGAGAGTAATATGTTATAACCCATTAAATAAAATAGGAATCTGGAGCACCCTGATGTGACCTCACCCTCCCCAGAGGGTGTGAGTGGCTGATGCTCTTATGTCTCAGGCAATCATTTACCCAAGGCAACATCGAAAGAGAGGGACCAAAAAAGTCAACGACTCGTCCACAACCCACTGCCCTATCTAACTGTAGTGGTTTCAAAATAGATCCACGAATTCTGATACTCTCATTCATCAAAGGTCTATGTCTCCTTCCCCTCCACCTCCTCCTTTGAATCTTGGCTGGACTTAGTGACTTGCTAATAACTGATAGAACATAGCAGAAGTGATCATGCATGACACCCCAGGGCTTCTACTTTGTCTACTGAAATATATCTGGAGTGCTGAGCTGCCATGTAAGGAATCTGATTACTTTGGGGCTGCCATGTTAGAAGGAAGCTCAAGGCCACATACAGACACTCCAGTCAGCAATCCTAATCTCTGAGTCATTGTAGTCCAGCCACCTGAGTGAAGTCACTGGGACCCTCTGTGCCAACCCACTTGCCAGCTGAATACCTGAGTGACCTCAGTCATTACTACAAGGAACCAAAGAATCTTCCAGCTGAGCCTTGCTGGAATTCCTGATCCACAGAATCTGTGGGCATAATAAAACAACTGTTGCAAGCCACTAAATTTTTGGTCATTTGTTACAAAGAAAGAAGAAGCAGAATACTATGTCAGATCACCTCTTTGTCCCTGAGGACTTCTCAACATTTTGTTATTCCTCGGATCCGGATTTCTTTCTTTTTTCCAGTTTCTCCAAGGTTAAATTTGGGGAAGGGAACCAGCAGCCCATACTGGTTCATCACTCTATCATCTGGTATGTTTTGCAGTTTTCTTTTTTTTTAAATTAATTAATTAATTTAATTTTGGCTGTGTTGGGTCTTTGTTGCCGCATGTGGGCTTTCTCTAGTTGTGGCGAGCGGGGGCAACACTTCATTGCAGTGCACGGGCTTCTCATTGCAATGGCTTCTCTTGTTGCTGGGCCCAGGCTCTAGGCACGTGGGCTTCAGTAGTTGCAACACGCGGGCTTAGTAGTTGCGGCACGCGGGCCCTAGAGCGCACAGGCTTCGGTAGTTGCGGCGCACGGGCTCAGTAGTTGTGGCTCGCAGGCTCTAGAGAGCAGGCTCAGTGGTTGTGGCGCACGGGCTTAGTTGCTCCGCAGCACGTGGGATCTTTCTGGACCAGGGCTCAAACCAGTGTCCCTTGCATTGGCAGGCAGATTCTTAACCACTGCACCACCAGGGAAGTCGCACTCTGCAGTTTTCAACTATGAACTTAGGTTTGGTCTATATTAGTCTGCTGTAATTCTGCATGAGGCTGGTTGAGGGTGTTTTCCCCGGCTTTGGCCAGAGCCTACTTTCAGTTTATTTCTATGCTTGGGGTTTCCTGAACTGCTCCGTAAGGGTATACCCAAACCCCAATCAGGCCTGAAGAAAAGCCTGTGGTTATGAATTCCCTGAGGAAAAATTCCCTCCACCCAGAGCCTAAGCCAAAATGGACAAGTTTCCTAGGTATGCCTCAATGGTATCAATCAGATTTTTTTCTACCACATTCCTTCATTCAAGATATAGCCCTTCAAGGGACTAAGTTTTATGCCAGGGCCTCTGCTTCTCTAATAAGTGCTTGGCCCAAGGTCCAGCACCTGTTAAGATCCAAGGCTTTATACGATCCAGCAATCCCGCTCCTGGGCATATATTCAGACAAAACTATAATTCGAAAAGATACATGCACCCCTATGTTCATAGCAGCACTATTTACAATAGCCAAGACATGGAAGCAACCTAAATATCCATCAACAGATGAATGGATAAAGAAGATGTGGTATATATATGCAATGGAATATTACTCAGCCATAAAAAAGAATGAAATAATGCCATGTGTAGCAACATGGATGGACCTAGAGATTATCATACTAAGTGAAGTAACTCAGAGAAAGACAAAATCATATGATATCACTTATATGTGGACTCTAAAAAAATGATACAAATGAACTTATTTACAAAACAGAAATAGACTCACAGACATAGAGAACAGACTTGTGGTTGCCAAGGAGGAGGGGAAGGAAGGATTGGGAGTTTGGGATTAGCAGATGCAAACTATCATATACAGAATGTATAAGCAACAAGGTCCTACTGGATAGCACAGGGAACTATATTCAGTAGCCTGTGACAAACCATAATGGAAAAGAATATGAGAGAGACTACATATATGTATGTATATATACACGTGAATAGAACTAAATCCCTTTGCTGTGCAGCAGAAATTAACTTGGGCCCAGGAGATTTCTCATGTCCTCTCTGAGCTCAGCTATACCTTTAAAAGGAAGTTTGATTCTTTAAACCAGTATTTCTGGGTATTTATCAGAGGCAACCACACTGCAGAAGCACCAGTCTCAGAGTCTCCTTCACAAAACACATTCATCAGATGGCATCATTCTCTGTTTACTGGCTGTTCAATAAAGACCAGGAATCTTTACCTGATTTAAAAGCTCAGCTTCGTCTGGCCCCTGCTAGCACAGCACTCACCACCCTCACCACACCCATCTCCCCAGCTCTCTCCACTCAAGGTGGAGAATAGAAGATATCACCCTCTTCTCTTATTAAATAGGCTCTGCCCCCTTCTGACTCAGGGCCTTTGCATATGCTATTCCCACTGATCGCAACTCTTTTCTACCAGACCTGTTTCACCTTTTTTACACCTTCAGGGCTTGGCTCAGACTCACTCATCACTTCCTCAGGGAAGCCGTCTGAACTCCCCCCAAACAAGGTCAGACAGACCTCAGTTACACCCTCACAAAGCTCCTAGATTTCTTTACGGCACTAATCACAACGCCAGGAGAATTATAGTTGAAGTATAAATTACAATTACGAAGACTATCCACTTATTTGCAAGAATATTTTAATGGCTGTCTCCCCCAGGGGACTGTGCGCTCTGCAAGGGCCCAGCCTGTGGGCACCACCAGTGCCCAGCTAAGGACAGGCAAAGAACAGGAGCTCAACAAATGTGTGGTGAATTAACAAAATACAAGTAAGTGCAGAACCAGGGCAAAAAAACTAGGAGCCCTGATTTCTCGGCCACAGGCTCACCTTCAATAGGCCAGGCGTGAAGGATCCCTTTCTTGGGACCCACATTCTCAGCAAAATCACCAACCTACACGCCCCCAGCTTAGATGGCGAGATCAGAGGAACTGACCATATCAATAAATGTCTTGAGTTTTAATGAGTCTGCCATAGAGCGTTCTTCCCCACTTCTCCATCCTGGGGTACCAGATCTCAGCTCAGGGTGGGGTAGGAGCCGGGGAGGGGAATAAATGTGAATGGGACCGAGGGACTGGGGCTGGGAGAGGAGGGTCCACGTGAGGAGCAGAAAGAAGGCGCTAACCCCAGGCCCTGAGACAAGCCAGTGAGCCAAGCCCTTTTAGCATCCAGGGACCACCACGGTGACCAAACAAAATACATGTGTTCCTTATCGGCAAAGTAGTGTCATATTGTGCCCAAAGTTCCAGGGCGAGTCTGTATCGGGCCCTAAGTGCCTGCTGGGGGCACTCTCAGCCTGGAGAGTCAGGAGGAGGCCCATCCTGTACCTGGAACGTGGGCAGAAGGCGCGATCTTGGCCTGGAGGGTGGGAAGGACACACCAACTTGGGCCTGGAGAGCTGGGAGGGGGACCTCCTCGGGTCAAGAGAGGGTCTCATCTTGGGCCTGATGAAGAAAACCATAGGGGGTCCCTGGAGCCCATAATTAAGTACATACTTTAAACAGGATGGGAGAAGCAAAAAGAAACAGAACCAAACCTAAGGGTACAGCTGGACCCAGGAAACAAGATCAGGCCAAGGGGGTGGAGCTAAGCCCAAGGTGAAGGAGCCGGGAGGCGGAAGGGCAAGGACTAGAGGGAGGAGATGGAATCAGGGCCAAGCCTGGGGAGCAGAAAAAGGGTCCAGATTAGAGGGCAAAATTCCAGAAGTGGGACTAGGGCCAGAGACATCAGGGAATCTGCGCCAGAAGCAGGACCAGCCCCTGTGAACAGAAACCAAACTGAGGAAGGCAGACAGAAAGGAGAGGTGAGGCTCTGTGAACCGCTAAGATGGAGACAGATTAAGGAGTGGCTAGTTACCCAGGAGTTTGAGCCAAGCTTCAGGCACACACAAGCTCTGAACCAGGGAGCAAGGGCCAGGGCCAGGGGGAGGAATCAGATGCTAGGGCCTGGCAGGGCTGCACAGCATTAACCCCCCCTCCTCCCCCCTCCCCCCCACCACACAGAGCATTATCCAGGGGGCGGGGTTATCTCTGAGCGTGACAGCAAGATGGGTGGGTGGCTAAACAGGGCACAGAGCCAGGTCCCAGAGGCCGCAAGGCCTACCCCCAGGGCTCAGTCAGGCGGGAGAGTGGGTCACAGATAGGCTCGCGGTCCCGGGTCTTGTTCGGGCTCGGTGCCCGGCACGCCGCGGATGTCGGGCAGCAGGCGGCAGCCGGCCACGATGTCCAGGCGCTCGGCCAGCGCGCAGAGGTCCCCCCGCGCCAGGCGCACGCTGTGGGCCGCCGCCAATCCCGCCGCCTGGGCAGCCGCCAGCCTACCGGCCAGGGCGGCCACATCACGGCCCGCGCGGCGGTACACGCCGCTCACCGCGGCCGCTACGTCGTGGTCCAGCCGCGCCTGGCTCTCAGCCAGCCGGAGCTGCAGCAGCGAACGCGCGGGGGCAGGCGCCGGGGCCTCCTCCTCTCCCCAGGCCTCCCCGGCAGTCTCCCGCTGCACCACGAGCGGAGGCAGATCCCTTGGCGCGGCCTTCGGCTCCGGCTCCGAGTCCGAGTCGGTCTCCACGGCCTCCCCGGCCACCCGCAGTCCCGTGGGGCGGCCGCGCGTCGGGCCCGAGAGGACCAGGTACAGCTCCTCCTCCTCCGACGAGGACACAGAGAGCTCCGAGTCCGTCTCGGCCGCCTCCCCCGGCACCACCGTCTCAGGCCTCCGCAGCGGCCTCCGCCGACGACTCTGGGACGCCATGGCGCGAGCTAGGGAGAAGACGCGCGAAGGGATGATATGAGAGGCGGGCGCCCTGCCGTGGTTAAAAGGCGCAAGTTCTGGATTCTCAGCTCCTCCACTGACTACCTTAGCAATTTGGGGCCATCTGCTTCCCCTGCCTGGGCCTCAGTTTCCTTTTCTGCATCATCACCCCTGATGATGATGATGGGGGCTACTGGACCCCAGCCTCCTCAGTGTACTGATGGATAAACTAAGGACCACCAGCTCAATCAAGGCTGAGGCACGAGTAACCAGAGTCCCAAACGAAGCTCTTTCCGATTTTGCCTCCTAGCAGAGGCCACACCCTCCTCCAAGGCTGTGTCAGATTCGGAAGCACACGGGCTCCTGAGCCGTTCAGGTACCAGTGCCTGGGTCACAGAAAGGGTAACAGCCCAACTGGACTCTGGGAAGGGTGCACTAAGGGCGGGGTAGGGAGCGCTATCACCGAAGACCGTACCGAGTCACCGGAGCACCCAGCCTGCGGGATCCGCTACCTAGCCGAACTGCGGAGTCTTTACCGAGAAAGGAGAAGGCGGCAGCCCCAACCAATAGGGGAGCAGGTTGGGCGGGGGTTGGCGGCCAATCACCTGGGCCGCTCGCCTACCAACCAGGAAGCAAGCCCTCAGGACCAGCTTTGAGGAGGGGTGGGGGTGGTGTGTGTGTGTGTGTGTGTGTGTGTGTGTGTGTGTGTGTTCATATGTGTGTGTGTATGTGTGTGTGTGTGTGTGTGTGTGTGTGTGTGTGTGAAGAGCCACGTGAATATGGGCACGTCCAATAGGAAAGCTGTTGGGCTGGCGCTTCCGGGTTGTGCTGCGAGGCGTGTAGACAAACGGGGACTCTAAAGGACGAGAAGTCACGTGTAACAAGCGACTCGGCCAATGGAAATGCTCGAGGACCCGGAAACGGGGATGAAGCAGAGGGAAGGGCGGAGATGCTTGTCACGTGCGGCCAATAGAGACAAAGCAGGCCCTCCCCCTAGTCTCCCAAGTTCAGGCGCGCACAAGAGCCCAGAAAAGGAAGGCGGGGCTAGGCCGAAACACCAATGGAAGCGAGAGCGGGCGGGCTCGCACTTAGGTGCAGGAGGCGGGGCTTGCCCAGCCGGGCCAATGAGAACACGAGGCGCTGGACGGTTGTTAGGCAGGGAAGGTCGGCGCATGGCTGACGCGGCACTGTTCGAGTTTCTGCACACGGAAATGGTAGCGGAGCTGTGGGCGCAAGATCCGGACCCCGGCCCCGGGGTGAGCGCCGGGCCCCGGGGGGAAGGAGGCAGGGCCGCGGCGGGAAGGCCGGGTCGAGGCCTCGGGAGGAGCAGAGGGCGCGGCAGCGGCCCGGGTCGAACCCCCGCCCCTGCCTCGCTGGGCGACCTCAGGCGCCAGCTTCCGCCTCTGCAAAGCGGGGTCGCAGCAGGGCCGGCCTCGAGGGTCGCAGCTAGAACTAAGCGAGACAGTTCGGGGTCAGGCTCTTAGCTCAAAGCCTGGCACAGAGTAAGCGGGTAGCAATTACAGTAATTACGATTACTGGGTATATATTGAGAAGTTGTATATTGAGCCTGGGTTGAATGCCGCCTGCACCACTCATACAGGGTGTGAGAGCCAGTGATTCGACCTCTGTGTGCCTCAGTTTCCTCCCTTGTAAAATGAGATCATAACAGCACCTAAGACTCCGAGCGAGACATTTATTCATCCAGCAAACTTACTGAGCGCCTACTGTATTCAGGGCACTGTTTCCCTGTCCTCGTGAAGCTTACGTTTTAGTACGGGAGTCAAAACAAACAATAAATAAAAATAGAATGTGCCACCAGCTAGTGAGAAGTTTTATAAAGACAACTTCAGCAGACTCGGGGAAAGAAGAGAGGTGGAGTGGTGGATGGTGGAGGAAAGCCTTTCTGAGGAAGAGAAGGGAGGAAGCAAGCCCCGGGGATAAGTGGGGGGAAGAGCATTCCAGGAAGGGGGAAGCCTTCTGTGAAGCCCTGCGGAAGGAGCGTGCTTGGCATCTTGGAAGTTGGCCCTCATGAAAAATAAATGCTCAGACTTCAAAGCACTTAGTACGATGTCTAGCGCCTAATCAGCCCTCAAAACACGGAGCTCTTGTTTTAAAGTCTGTTACCAAGAAGAAAGGGTGACGGAGAGAGCAGGTGCTTAATAAGAGGGGCTGTGCTCACTTTTTTCATTATTCTTTCTATGATCATCATCCTCAATATGCAAGACATTTTTATTGGTCTGTTTTCTTCCCAATTCAGGAGGACAAAGGTGTTGCTTGTTGTCATCTCAACATAGTTTTTTCAAGTTCATTCATTCAACAGACTGTCACTAAAACCTGCAAGGTGCCAAGCCTTGCTGTAGGCTCTGGGGATTATTCAGCGAACCATGCCAAAACCCTTGCCCTCCTGGAGCTTACGTTATAGTGGGGTAGGCGGCCAAATCAGATAAATAAATGAGTATATATTGTACCTTGGGAAAATGCCATGAGAACGTTAGCGCGTGGGAGAGGGAGTGTGCACTGGCCTGTGTTTTGGGGAGGGGGCTGCAGTGTCTCAGCACCCCATCCATCCTGGCTTTCAAACCAGAAACCCGGGAGTCCCTGACATCTGCCTTTCCTCCCTCACCTCCAGCCATCAGCCAGGCCCTTCCTGTTGTGCTGTCTAAATATGGTTCCCATCTGGCCCCTCCCTGCTTTAGGCTGGCTTCACTCCTCTCTGCCCTGTACCAGCGTCCTCCCTCATCTTCCAGCTCATTTCACCTGTCACATCGTCACTGCCTTGACACCTATTAATCCTTCAGATCTTGGCTCAAATGTCCCTTCCTCGGGGAAGCCCTCCCTGAGCCCCCAGTGGAAGTGGGGTATCCTTGTATCACAATAAGTATGTATCTGAATTATGTATCCACATGATCCTTCGATTCACAGCCTCTCCTCTGCCAGGCTGCCTGCTGTGTGGTGTGGATGGGGACCGGGTCTGTGTTAATCACCCCATAGTAGGTCCTCAGCATGGATTTGCTGAAGTGAGTGCAGCCCCTGTGCCATGGAGGGTGTGGGCGGGGACTGGCACTCACTCAGTATCGTGGCCAATAATAGCACCCATCATGTGCCCTGGTGGGCTTCACATTTCTGATTTCATTTGATCCACCTAACAACCCACAAAGGTCAGCACGATCCTCCCCACTTTGTAGATGAGGAAACAGAGGCTTTTATAGAGTCTTCACTGTCAAGTGGCAGAGTCAGGAATGTAACTGGGCCTTCCACTTCCAAAGCCTGTGCTATAAACTCTCGTCTGTCTTTCTCAGTGCCTTCTCTGACACTCTGGGAGGATTTCAATGGGTTCCTGTGGCCAAGCAAGTGGGGGGGACACGCGGTTACTCAGCTTTGCTCAGCACAGGGCTTTTAGAGCACGAACGCGCCTGTGACCCTTGGGCGTGGCTCTCTGCCCAGCTGCCTCTGCAGTTCTGATGCTGGGGTCCCACACCAGAGATTCCGGTGGAGCTGGGCCAGGAGGTGACCTGGGCGTCAGGCCTCAGAGCTTCTGGGTGGCTCCTGTGTGCAGCCAGGGGAAGGACTGCCGTCTCCCCACATTCTTTCAAGCTGGGGAGCCCCGTTTCTTAGCACATCGTGGGCAGCTGCCCTGTTTTCGCGCAGTCTTTTCTCTTTTGCTCCCAGCCCCTCCCCTCTCTGCTCCTTCTCTTTGGCCCAGCAAGTGTCCTGTCTGAACGACACGCAGGCCTTCTGTTTCTTGGGTATTTACAGCACTCTGAGGTTGACGTCATCATCCCATTTTACAGGGGAGGGACTGAGGCACCAGAGAGGGAGGGCTTCTCCGACGCTGCACAGCCAGCATCAAAGGCAAAATCAGGACTCGGGGCATCCGTGCCAGAGCTTGTCTGTGGCATTAGGCCTGCCCCGCCCACCTGCCCCAGAGCCCTTTGAGGAAAGCGATGGTGGCTGGTTCATCTCTGTCCCCACAGCAAAGGCGCCCAGGAGCCACAGTCAATGTTTAGGGCTTTTTGATCTCCATGTCCTGCCTGGTTATTTGTGGCTGTTGAATGGATTCTCCTGGACGGTTACGGGTTGAATGGAAGACTGGCCGGAGGAAGTGGGAGGTCGAAGGGCCTTTGTTATCAAAGAGGGAAAAGTTCCAGGAGTCGGAGGAAGAGGCTGTGGCTTGTCCACCTCAGGAGCTTTGAAGATATGTGGGCAAAGGAGTGAACCCCTCTGTGTGTGTAATGAGCTGTCATCCACTGGCCGCTGGCCCGGGAACGGCCCTGCTGGGCAGGCCCTGGTCCACTGAGGCCCAGTGAGTGCCAGGCCAGCCCCTTCTCTCAGGAGGGCCTGTGGTGGGTGTAGCAGCCATCAGATACAGTCCTGTCCTCAGGCAAGAGCCTGGAAAACCAACCAGTTCCTGGCACAGTGGATAGCAGGGGGCAGAGCCCTGGAGGGGGCGCAGTACATCCGAGGCCACAGAGCCAGCAGTGGGGTCTCCATGCGGGAACTGGGGCTCTGTCCTGAGGACGGTGGGGGCCACAGAAGGCTTAAACTGAGGTGTGCCAGGCTCAGATTTACTTTTCCAGAAGTCCTCCCTGGCCACGTGGATGAGACTGGATGGAGATTGGGTGGGGAAGGGTGCTACTGCAGGAGCCCGAGCAGCGGTGAGGGGTAGACGGAAGGCAGGTGGAGGGGGGCTGGGTGAGCTCGGAGAGTGTCAGGGGAGAAGGTGGGATTTGGGGTTGTCTGGGCACCACCTGGGTGCATGAGGACACGGCGACAGGGTGGGAGGTGTGCTCTCACCCTGTCACTCACCTGGTCACGCAGCATAGTTCTTTTGGGTCTTCTGGGGCCATTCACCTTGGGGAAGCCGGAAGTCATCCCTTCTCCCTGTGCTTTTTTTTTTTAATATATATAAACTTATTTATTTATTTTTGGCTGCGTTGGGTCTTCGTTGCTGCACACGGGCTTTCTCTAGTTGTGGTGAGCGGGGGCTACTCTCCGTTGCAGTGCGCAGCCTTCTCATTGCGGTGGCTTCTCTTGTTGCGGAGCACGGGCTCTAGGCGCGCGGGCTTCAGTAGTTGTGGCACGTGGGCTCAGTAGTTGTGGCACGCGGGCTCTAGAGCACAGGCTCAGTAGCTGTGGCACACGGGCTTAGTTGCTCCGTGGCATGTGGGATCTTCCGGGACCAGGGCTCGAACCCGCGTCCCCTGCATTGGCAGGTGGATTCCCAACCCCTGCGCCACCGGGGAAGCCATCCCTGTGCTTTTCTTAAGGCAGGAACCAGTGCTGCTCCTTCCTGGGACGCCCTAGCACAGGCTAGTAGCTGTGGCACACGGGCTTAGTTGCTCCGTGGCATGTGGGATCTTCCGGGACCAGGGCTCGAACCCGCGTCCCCTGCATTGGCAGGTGGATTCCCAACCCCTGCGCCACCGGGGAAGCCATCCCTGTGCTTTTCTTAAGGCAGGAACCAGTGCTGCTCCTTCCTGGGACGCCCTGCCCTGGGCCAGCACAGAGTGGCTCCGTGGGTGGGGCTCGAACCTCACAAATAACTAGTAACTAAGGGGCCAGGCAGGCCAGGCACACAGCCCCCCACCCAGCTCCATCGAGTTTCAGTCCAGGACGGGACCAGGGGGAAGGCAGTTTGGTTTACTTGTTTTCCATTCATCCTACTCGGAGTTCTGCGGCCCTTTTCGGTCTGGACGCTTGAATCTGCCTTTAGCAGAGCACATGTTCCTCTTACGCTCCTTTCATTATTTCTTCTCCAGCACTGTTCCATCTCTCGCAGTCAGAGGAATCCTAGACTTCCTAGGTCTCTTTCCACATGTCAACTTTTCTCTCATTTTTTTCCTACCTCGTGGTTTTCCTTTTTTCTTAACAATCTGTGAGGTTTTACCTACCTTCCAAATTTGTCTCTTTTTCAGCTCCCTCATGAACAAACGTTTCTTTTGGCTACCATTTCATTTCTAAGAACATTCCCTTGTCCGACTGTCCCTTCCTCCAAGTGCCCATCCTGCTTCATGGATGCCCCTCGTGCCCACACCGATAAGCCTCCTCTGAGGGCTCCCCCCTGTTTCTCCCATTATCTCGGTTCCTCTCCATGGGCTGTTGTGTCAACTCGGCTGAGGCAGGCGTGGGGAGCCCAGAAATGCACTGGCTCTGGGCTGGGCTCCAGAGGCTTCCAGTGGGATGGGAGTGTCCCGCCTTGCCCTCCCTCCTCAGGAATGACGAACCCCTAGTGTCTGGAGAGCTTTGGTAGCGATTGGGGCTTAAACACTGCTGAGTCCTGGGAGGCGGCTGCCAGAGAGCAGGTGGGGTTCTGCCGCCCTCCTCCTCCGCCCTCTCTCCCGAGTCACCCGCTTATCCTCTGCCCTTCCCTCCCCACTGCCTCTCCTCCTCCCTGCTCGCATTATTTCCGCCTCCCCACCACCCCCAGTCTCTGCAGTGCAGCAGATATTTAACTGGCCCCTTTCAAGGGCTGGGGACCAGGGAGCCAACAGCAACAGCTGCTGTAGAGCGAGCTGCCGGTCACACCACCCTCCGCCCTCTCACCAGCTTGTCATCCCCTGGGTGCCCGTCATCCCCACTAGGCTTGCTAGGCGAGCTCCCAGAGGCCAGTCAGGAAATGTCCGTGGGATGAACAGGGGAGTCCTGGGGTCTTCCCTGTCCCTCGGGACACAGATGCACTTAGAGCGGAGCCCAGCCAGGCCCCCTCGGATAGCTCACCTCTAGGAGGGAGGTGACGCAGGGTGGCAGTGATCCAGGTGCTGAGATCCGTCAGCCCACAGAACAGAGCCCCTCCTTCATGGGGCTTTCCTTCCCTTTCCCCATCAGCTCATCATGCAGGTTGACAGATGCAGAGGCTGCAAATGACAATGATAGTAACGCTTCCTGAGCCTGACTCAGAGCACTTGGCTTGCACTTACCCACTCCCTTAATCCTCATGAGGACCCTGGAAAGGTCCTCATTTTACACCTGAGGAAACTGAGGCACGGGGCAGCTGGTAGGGGTCAGGGGCTGATCTGGCCCCGGACCCCGGAACCAGCCACCAGGCACATGTCCCCCTCTCTGCCTCTCATGCCCCAAGCTCAGATCCTGCACATCATGAGTCTACAAGCCCTCCCCGCAAGGCCAGCCCTGCTGTGCTGGAAGAAACCAGAGAGCGCACGCCAGTGCCGCCAGCAGGAAGCTGTGTCCTTCCCCAGGCCCGCTTCCCGCAGGAATAGCACAGAATAGCGGGACAGGGCCTGCATATCACGTAGCCCAGCAGAGCAGAGGGCCAGCACGCAGGCCGCCTCTGCTCCAACCTCCCTACGCCTGGCGCATCCCCCCAGCGGGCCTCAGCCCTTGCCACTTCCCTGGCGCAGGGACAGCTGGGGGTGTTGCCCCGGCCGCCCACCCATCTGCCACGTACCTGCAGGAGCCAGACCTGCTCAGGTCCGAAGGACAGCCCCGTGGCTGAGGGTGCCTCTGGGAGGTGTGACCTAACCCCTCTGTGCCTGGTCTCCAGGTGTGAAATACAACCTACCTTATGGGGTTGTTAAAATTAAACAAGGGGGTCTGTACAGGGCACTTGGCGCAGTGTGTGCTCGAGTCCCAGTTCCTCGCTTTGCTCGTCCAGCATCTGTTTCTAACGCACCTCCTCCGGTGTGCCCGGCCCCGTGTTGGTCACCACAGGCCGTCCTGCTATTTCTGATGCCCCCAGGCTGGGCCAGCCGCCCTCGCCTGCTCAGCTCTCTCCAGGTCACACAGATCGAAACGCACAGGTCAGCTCTCCTCCGGCCTCGCCGTCCACACTCCTGGGCACGTGGACAGATACCAGGTGCAGCCCTCCTGCCACCCCTGTCCCCGTGCCTCAGCCCCTCCGCCGTGAGACCTGGCCTGTCCTCCAGAAGGCCGCTTTGCCACCACTGCCTTCACTGGGCACCCGAGGGAACATTTCCCTCCCCTGTGCCCCTGTGCGTCCCTCCCAGGATTCTCGGCTAATATGTTAAGGCCTAATGATCACAGCTGACTTTTCAGCCCCCCTGCTGGCCAGAGGCCAGGGCCCATGCCTTGTGGCCCCCTTACTCGCCCAGGGCAGGTCCCCTTGAGTTTCTGGGGTAACGGGAGTGCTACTCCACAGGGTGTTGTAAGGACAGACACTGAAAGCACGTATAAGAAGTGATGGGTGTTATCAGGAAAGACTTGACCAGCAGGGTGAAGGCTGAGCCCGGGGAAAACCCCCGTTTTTCCTGGAATGAAGGGGAGCGGGTCCTGAGGGCTGATGGGGTTTCTGGAGGCGTGCGAGGAGGTGAAGGGACAAAGCCGGCCTGTCCTGCCAGCCTGTGCAGCAAGGCCCTCCCCTCTGGGCCTCCTCGCCCTGCACGGGCAGGGACGGGCAAGTCCCCTCGCAGCCGCCACACCCGGCGGCTCCCGGCTCCCTCAGGTGACCGAGGGCCCCTGCGCCTCTCTTCCCTGGCCTTCTAGGGACAGAAGATGAGCCTGTCGGTCCTGGAGGGCATGGGCTTCCGCGTGGGCCAGGCCCTGGGCGAGAGGTGAGAGGTGGGCAGGAGCTGAGGTGGGGTCCCTTCCTGGGCACAGGCGGGCGGGGAGGGTACCTTGCTCCACACGGGAACCCAGCCTGGTCTCCTCCCTCTTCCTCATCTCGGGGCTCCCTGCTCCCCTGGCCTGGGCCCCACCCCAGGCTGCCCCGGGAGACACTAGCCTTCAGGGAGGAGCTGGACGTCCTCAAGTTCCTATGCAAAGACGTGTGGGCGGCCGTGTTCCAAAAGCAGATGGACAGCCTCCGCACCAATCACCAGGTGCGTGCCCACGCCCAGGGCCCAAAAGAGCCGGGGAGGGGACTCCCCCGCGCAGGGCCGTCGCAGCAGGCCCAGCCCGGCCACGGGGACCTGCCCAAGCTGGGAGGCAGGCACGGGCCCCCTCGGGGCCTCTGTGCCATCCTCCAGGGGAAGCCAGGAGGCTGCCGTGGGGCATGGCAGCTGTTTCCAGCCTCCCCACAGGCCTCCCAGGATGGGCCCCAGAGCCGGCAGAAGGCCCCTTGTGGCGGGCGGCACCTCGCCTCGGCCTGACGCTTCTTGTCCGGACCTGGTCCTAGTTCCCATTAGGAGCCCGTGCTGTGCCGGGGCCCGGCGGGCCGCTCCACGGGCCTGGGCTGCAGCTTCTCACCACCACCCTGGAAGGTCACGCACCCAGCGGGGGCAGGACACCAGGCCCGGGGCCGAAGGCCCGTGGGTCCTCTTGCAGCTCTGAAGGACGGGCCCGTGACCGACCACCACGGTTTTGAGGGAAGGGTCCTTCCAGACCTCAGCCCAGTGGGGCTGGGCCCTGGGTCCTTGCTTCCCCGCCCCCCTAACAAAGGTACAGGCGCCACCCCAGCCCCCATGGGCCCCTCCTCTGTCCCCAGGGGACCTACGTCCTGCAGGACCACAGCTTCCCCCTTCTCATCCGGATGGCCTCGGGTCTGCAGTACCTGGAGGAAGTGCCCAAGGTATGGGGGCGGTGCTGGGACTCCAGCCCCAGGCAGGCCCCTCCCTGATCCCAGGACCCCAGGAGAGGGAGGGGCCCAGCGTGGCCCCCCTGGTCCTGGGCGTTGGCCTTCCCCCTCTGCCCACAGTGACCTGTGTCCCCCGCCCCCAGTTCCTGGCCTTCACCTGCGGCCTCCTACGGGGCACCCTCAGCACCCTGGGCATCAAGAGCCTGGTCACCGCCTCCGTGGCAGCCCTGCCCGCCTGTGAGTTGGGGTGGGGCGCTCCCGTCCGAGTGAGGCAGGAGTCCCCCTGCTCCCTGGGGGCCGAGGAGGTGGGGTCGGGCCACCCCAGCCCCATTTCACAGATGGGGACTCTTGGGCCCAGAGAGTTTAAGTCACATGCCCAGGCCACACAGCTGGTGCAGCGCATCCATGCCCCTGCCCCTGGATGTCCCCCGCAGCCTGCTTCCCCTGGGCCATGCCAGCCTGGAGGAGACAACCCTTGACGATGACCTGGTCTAGTGGTTTCGAACACTCTTCCCGGCGTGGGAACCCAGGTGGACATAATGGAAGTCACCTGTGTTGGTGCTGTGCTGAGGGGCTCCACAGGCAGCCAGGCCCCATGGAACTTGCAGCCGGCGTAATGGGCTGTCCTCCTGACCCCCGGGTCCCCGCTGGCCCACAGTGCCCTCCATCAGACAGGCCGAGGCCCCACCCTTACCTGGGGGCAGCCCGCAGCCAACCCTCTAGTCCCCTTCCCTCCAGGTGTCTTCCCCTCTGCCAGTCCCCAGGCCCACTCATCACAGGGGACCTGGGAGGATATGAGCAATACATGCCCCAGAAACCCATGCCAGCCCCTTCCCCAGCAACCGACATGCTTGGCCTTCATGCCCCCAGTCACCCACACAGCCCTAGGATGCAGGCCAGGTGGGCAGGAAGCATCACCACCCTAGACCGGTGAGGAAACCTGAGGCCCAGCTGAGGCCACCCAGGCTATTGGCGCAGGGCAGGGATGAACATCTCTGAGCTATTGGGGTGCTGCCTCTCCCCTCCGGTCCCAGCCTCAGGCTAAAGCGAGCCCTTGTCTTCCAGGTAAGTTCCAGGTGGTGATCCAGAGATCCTGAGGGAGCCCCAGGCCCCACCCCCAGCCGAGCCTCACGCCACCCCATCCCGGGGACCCAGCTGCTGCCTGTGGTGGTGGCTGGTGCTGGGGAGATGGGGTCCCACCGATTCAGGGCCTCACAAGCCCTCAACAAATGGGTGTCATAGGGAGGTGGGGGTGTCACGGGGGCAAGGTGGACCCCGCCCCAGTCGGGGCTGGTGTGGAGGGAGCCCACATCGGACACGTCCCTCCACATGGCAGGGGCTCAATAAAGGTTCTGTACGTGGGACCAGATTCCAAGTGGAAGGTGGGAGTCATGCAGGGTGCTGGGGGCAGGGTCATCTGCAAAGGGACTGTTTGTGTCACAGGTCCTGCGGGGCAAGCAGGCTACCCTGTGTGGCTCCCCATCCCACATCTCCTCTCCTGGGCCCCCTCCTCCCCAGCCTCAGCCCTGGAGCTTGCCGCCTCCTGCCCTGCACACCTGGCAGGGGAGGGTGGCCCCTGGCGCTGGCACCCTTGCCAGCGTCAAGTCTGGGGCCGCTCTCTTCCCAGCGGGGCCCACAGAGTGGACCTCTCCCTAGGAGCAGGGCCAAGGGCCCCCAGGGTGCTGGCAGGGGTGGGCTGGGCTGGGGCTGCCAGGACCAAGGATGGATGCAGGTGAGGTGGGCCAGACGCCCTCAGCTCCCCCAAAACATACACATACACACACACGAATACACAGTTCTTGTGCCTGGCGGATGCGAGTCATACCAAGAAAAGAACAATGGCCAGGCTGACCAGTCCCTGGGCAGCTCGGCCTCCATGCCTGCACCCCACCCCCTGCCACCACCTCCAATGTTTACATTCGTAGCATCCGAGGGCATCACCCGTCTGGACTCTGCCAGGCTCTGCTACTTGCTGCCTGATGTGGGTAAGTACCCCCACCTCGGACCTGTACACCGAGGCTGCGGCAGACCCAAATGGGAGAAGGAGGGGTCTCCTCAGCGTGGGGGGCTCCTCTGCAGACACCCCATCCAGCCCCTCCCCAGCGCACACTGCTGAGCACCGCGGCCCCTGGCCTGCCTCCGTGCATCTGCACATGCCATTCCCTGCCTGGCCCACTCCCCAAACTCCTGCTCCCTCTTGGGTGTCCAGCAGCCACCAGCCTCAGCTGCCCAGCACATCCCTCGGAGCAGAGCAGTTGCTCACTCGCCCGGCGCCTGCAGCCCTGGGGGGGTGGGGGGGCGCCTAGACTGCCTTGTCCTGCCCTGCCGCCGTGTTTACTTGTTTATGTCCCGCCGCGCTTCCCCGTGGGTCCCTCAGCTGGGTGCTGGCACTGTCCAGCACAGAGCCTGCACATGTTTCCCAAATGAATTGCAGTCATTCAGCTAAACCATGGGCGCACAGACAGGCGGGGGATCGGCCCAGCCCTGCCCTCAAGAAGCTCCGGGCTGTCCTGGAGGTTCCCCCCAACACTCACCACACCCCCACTCAGACACACCAGCCTGGCCTCCCCGATGGGGCAGGGGTGCTGGGAGGGGGGCAGAGTCCTACAGCAGCAGAGGACAGGGAGGAGGAAGTTGCTTGAAAGCCTGGTAAGGGGAGGGAGAGGCAGCCCAGGGGAGGCAAGGGGCACAGCCGGGCTACCGGGGGCAGTGTCTGGCCACTGGGCACAGCTCTGTGGTTGCCTCCCCCATCTCCCAGGGGAACGAACCTCTGTTCGACCCATCACGCCAGCAGCAGCCACAGGGAGACAGGACCCTGGAGAGCAGAGGGCCCCCCCCCCCCCC